TATATATATATATATATATATATAGTGTGTGTGTTGCATTGCACAGATAGTGTTTCCTACCCGACCGCGACCTTTGGGATAACAGCATCAGTATCAGTAGCGCAGTAGCGCCTGTCAGCCAACGCAGGCACCAGTGAAACTGATTGATGATGGGGACAACTGGCCCCCTGGAGAAGATCAGATACTGGCAGGAGTAGCGGACTCCTGGGGAAGACTCTCCACTCACAGCATAGTAACTTTCTGTCTTCCTTCACAGAATAGAAATTTATTACATTTTCACAAATGAATTATTTCAAAATCCCCGTACTTCCACTCTCAACCTTTAACCTCTGCAGTGGTTGTTACTTGCAGGGACAGAAATGACTTGGTCAGAAATATATACGAGTGCACTTTGTGAATTTCTTTTTAAGATTTATTTTTCATTTAATCATTGGGTGATGTTAAATGAGGGATTATGTGGTCCATTCTGAGAAATAGTTTCATTTTCATTTTTACAAAAAATGGTAGTATCTCCTGGCAGGCATGCTATCAAACTGGGCTAAATAGAATTACTGCAAAACAACTGATGATTAATTGTTAGATTGATTATTTGGCATTTTTAAACACGAAGATGAAAATAGCAACCGATCAAGGATCTTAGCAGTTATTTAACATGGATGGAGCAGACCACTCTTTATTTATTTTTGTCAGCTAGCTGCATCAAATATAAACAGTAAATTGCTCAATCCCTGCACAGACAGAATATTGAACCCTTATCACATACCGCTACAAATGTCTTCTGACAGCCTGAATGCCTGGTTCAACTTGCCAGATTTTACATCTGGTAAAAATGATCAGCTCCTGTCTCTTCCTCACCCCTGCCTTCCTCTTCTGTTTGCTATTTGAATAGGAAGTAGTGACACTGGACACTGGATCCCTCCCAACAGGTGCAAGGGTTCAGCAGCACATGCCAGGTCAGATCAGAAGGCTGAACCCCTCCAGGCTTCCCTGTTATGGCAAATCCCTATTGCCCTCCCTCCTCCCGACACTTTCTCACTTTTGGGCTGTTGTCTTTTCCAGATGGTTCCAATTAGCATGGTCCTGGACCTTTTTATGTATTTTTTCAAACAAGGACTCAAGAGTTTCCCCTCCTAAATTCTTGTCTTTATTGGTTGCCACGCCCATATATGCTCTGCATGGTAGCTTCAATAAAGTCCCACTTCCTGCACATGACAACATTTTAAAAATGTCTAGTATTCCCATTATTCATTTTGGGTGTCAGCACATTTTCAAGTTAGCGATCCAGTTAAAGAATGTCCTTTCTTTAAACTAAGAAGAAATGGTTAGTGTCTAGAATGTCCTATTGCTCACATTTAGCACTACTGTAAGTCCACACACACTGCTATAGATGCTATCTGGCCATTAATTGGTTGTTAAAAGTGATAATCATCCCTATAGTAATGGCGCTTGGGTACACTTCTGTACCAACTAATGCTGCAGAAGGTGTGCTTGACCTAAACCAAAGGGCTTTTGAAGCCAAAGGTTGTATTTTAATCCTAATAAACCAATGATCTTTTCTTAATTCTAGCCAAGTAGTTTTCGATCCCCACTCAACTTAGATGAAAGTTGCTTGATTTGTTTCTTGATGTCTCAGTAAGAGTTAAGAGATTTTATATTTTAATGTCTGTGACTTTTACTGAACAATGCCTAACTCTAGCTTGCAGTCTGCTAATTTGTTAGCAGTACTTGACAGATGTACAAATGTGTTCATAAAGATTGACTAAATCTTTATGAACATAAATGGTTGTCTTTTATAAGACGTGCCATACTTACTTTGTGTGTTTAATCTGCTTGCTGATAAATATGAGGCTCGTATCAATCTTCTCATGTCATTCTCAAAGCTAATTATTTAGAGTTTTTTATTAGATCAATAAAGAATGACAGAAAATGAATTATTTGGATTCGACTGAAAAGTTTTCTTTTGACTTTCTATGGAAATGTTTTTTTCTGGCTTCATTTTACTAGATTACACAGTTAAGTTGAACTAAAAAACACTGTAGCATTAATACAACATTATCCCAATAGAACAACTAATTAACATCCAATGAAGTGAGTAAAGTGGGATGAATGATAATGTTTACCAGCAACAAGTTCTTGGTTAGCTCCCAAAAAGTAGCTCTGCGTGGCTCACTGTTATTATCCGTGAGCTTTCTTCTGTTTCTCTTTCTCTGAATCAATTCATTTGATGAACTCCCCTTTCGGAGCCCAATTATTGGTAACCATGGAGGCCTGATGAAACCGGTCTGACGACACAAATGTTTCCTGAGAACACAAAGGGCCTTTTGTTTAGCTGATCTCCCAGTCAGTACTGAAAGGCAGATCAGCATGCGAGCCTGTTCTGCTAGGCTTACGATGAAAGGGCAAAGGGGTGAGGTGTATTGATAGAACTGTTGGGATGGACATGTCAGGGTCTTACAATGTGTGTGTCTGTGTTTTGGTTTTTGTTACTGTGGCTGGTTTGATGTTTTTCTTTGCTGGTGTCAAATCTCTTGATTCACTCCCTCCTTCCTGTGTGGAACAAACAAAGAGAAGAAAGTAGTTGTAAAGTCCATTTACTATAGGGTTTATTTAGACTTTTTATGATTTCTACTGTGTGTCTGTTAGCAAAACATGCCATGAAGGAATATTTGTCCCTTCCGACATACTAATAGTAGTTTTTCAGGCCTGATTACTGGCAGATCTATTAGATCAAGTTGAAGTAGGCTAAAAGCAACACATCATGACATAGTCTAAAGAAACTGCTGAGAAACAGAGTTATTGATATTAGTCTGGAACGGGTTACAAAGCCACTTCTAAGGTTTTGGAACTATTATCCTCAAGTTGAGGAAACTTGGAACAACCTGTGGTCAGTTGTGAACCTTCCCGAGAGTGGTTAGTGCCATTATTATGTTGCATTGGCAACCCATTGACAAGGTCACAAAAGAACCCAAAACATCTAAAGAACTGCAGTCTTCACTTGCCTCATTTAATGTCAGTGTTCATGATTCAGCAACAACAAAGAGACCAAGCAAAATTTGCATTTATGGAAGCATTCCAAGGTTAAAACCACTGCTGACCAATAAGATCACAAAATGACTTTTTCAGATAGGGCCAGGTAGGTTTGGATTTTATTCCCCCTTAATGCATGAAGCCCCTGTTAGTATTGACTCAGGTTGTAGTACTCTAATATGATTTGTTTGATGATTTGAAACACTGAATTGTACGCCTTCATATTGCTCAAGATAGCAAATGGCTCAATAGAGAGTAGAGTAAGAAGACAATCCTACCTGCCAGGAAATTATGAATTTAAAACCTGTTTCAGCGTTGAGACTCAGAACAAAGAAAAACAAATGAGAATGTTATATTTATATCTTTGTGTCACAGTCAGAGTGTTGAGTTGGATATTTTTGGATCAAAGCACTGTTTTCTATTTTAGCAATGAAATCTGACATTGCACATAAGATTTTTAGGTGTTTATTAGTCATGAGATACAAGTATAAGATATGAATAAAGGGCTCATAGAAATTAAACAAATCACTTTGGATTTTATCAACCTTATAAGCAGTTTTCTACCATATATTAGGAGTATTACTCCAAACACATATCTTCTACAGTATAATCTAATATCCTTTTCTGTGTCCCTGTGTGTGCCCCCTCCAGTGTTTCAGCAGCAGGCTGTCCACAGCCCTCTGGAGCAACAGAAGCAGAAACAGAAGCAGGGTAGCAGTGGAGGACCTGTCGCCTGCCAGAACTGTGGAAAGCCCTGCAAAGGGGAGGCACTCCGAGTTCAGAATAAACACTTTCACATTAAGTGTTTCATCTGCAAAGGTATGTAACACCAAATCAGAGCCACAGCCAAGACATAATGCAGATGCATGAACTGCACAATGAGATGGGATGTTACAAATTTTTTTGCAATATTGTGTGTGTTAATGTGCATATTGCAGCACATATCCTGGTCAATAGTCACTCCAAGAATCCTCACAGCATTACTGGAGGCCAGGGTAATGCCAGCAATAGTATCTAGTTAGACACCGTGTGGCTGAGATTTAGAGGACTGAATAAAAAAGCATTGGTTTATCGTTTTTCTATGTACTGTGATAGCACATCTACAGTTGAGCAATACAGTCATTATTAATGGATTGGTTAAAGCTAACCAGCTGTAGGTGTGAGTGTGAGTGCATTGTGTGTGTGTGTGTGTAATTGAGGGGTAGGGTGGGAGTGAGGGGATTTTTTCGTTGTACATATAATCTGGGAGGCTAGCTGCAAGTGTCAGAAACTTGAAATGTGAGCATGTTCCATTTGTGTGTATGTGTGTGCTTGTGGGTGGGTGGTGGATGTTTTTCTTTTTTCTTTTCACATGTGACTTTGAGTGTGTATTTTCACCACTCCCAGGCCAGACTCCCAGCTCGATTCTTGTGTCAGACTGCTGTTGTTGTCAACACACGCTCCGGTTGCTAGGCGATGGTTGGGGTCGCTAAAGTGTCGGCAGCTTCCTGGAGTTTAATCTTACACTGACCAGCAGACTCCCTGTCTGTACATTTACGCCCCGCCATTACCACCACCTCCATCTTTAACTCTGTTATCAGGTGATAAAGCGGCAGTGTTTGCATTGCCATCACAAGGTTACAAGTGTACTGCACTCAGTGGTCAGCTTGTTTTTGTTTAACTTAACAGATGATTCCTTTTTACTGCAAGTTGTAGCTTAGATTTAGCATTTAGTTGTAGCATAGTTTTGGCCATTATTGTTGTGTAGACCAACACTGCATATTATGGTGCATGCTACAGACTATAGCCTGTATGGCACAAAATAGTTAATAAAAATGTCATCTTTGTGGCTATTAATTTAAAAAGTCTGATTTGTCAATGATGACAGCATCTATTAAGCTGTCACGCTTTACTGATTGAGCTGTTCCTTCATGAAGAGCTTTTATGATTGGTTTGGAAAAAAATGAGCAAATTGAGGTGATTCAAGCCAAGTATTCAGTGAGTATGCTAATACCAACACACAACAGTCAGAGGAGCTATGTAAGGGTTCTCTTTACCCCACCCAAAAGTGCTTGGCTGTTCCTCCCATCTATAAATCTAAAGCATGACCACAGTAATTCAATTTCCAACGAATCTGGCCTGTTAAATGTGCTGATTATCCCAGCATTGTGAGCGCTAGGTGGGGAGTCAGGTTCGGTTAGTTATTAAAACTTCCAGATGTGGAATGATAGGAGTTTGAAACGTTTGAGTATGCCAATAAAATAAACCATAGCAGGCTTAGTGGCAATGGCGCTTTTCAATCCGCAGTTGGAAATTTAACATCAAAGAAAAGAGGAGACACCCAAAGGAGTGGTAGCAGCCTAATTCAACAAAGTGTAATGCTCATTAAGATTTTAGGTTTTTCTCTCAGTGCATGCGTCATGGAAGAGAATCATGGCCCCTGATTTTATTACAGTATTATCATCAGTTGCCTTTAGCTTGGGTGTTAGCCAAGAGGTTAACAGTGGCCAGATCTGAAGCAAGGAAACCTCAAAGCTCAGCTAGCTCTATTTAATATATCAAGATTTCTGCAGGTTTATCATAATATACATAGTAGTAACATATATTCAGCATATACAACTGACAGTGTGCTTTCAAGTGACAGCAGTTACTTACTAAAGTGATTAAGACAGTACAAGTACCTTCTAATGAATGTATTTCACTATATTTAGACGGGTTTCAAAGATAAGACATCATCAGTGTAATTTGAAACAAAGAGGAGTGACAATATATAGAAACCAGGTGAGGCCCAAATGCCAATCACAAACAAGAGCTTTCATTACATAAAAGGAAACATCTGCAAAAGCCTCAAAGGGTAATGAATGAGAAGATAACCAGAACCACGTGGCATCACTCACTGATAGAAACCAACTGACAGCATATAAAAAATATACTTTTTGAGATATCAACATCAAAATATTATTAACAACTGACATAGACAAAATATAACAACTTCTGGGGACTGCATTAGACTAAAAACAGAAAAATATTAGAAACAAAATAAGAACTGAATTGAAATCTGTGTCTCATATTGGATCTCTCTCTCCCCTCAACCCAAGCTGGTGATAGATGCCCCTCCCAATGCCTAAATCTGCTGGAGGTTTCTTCTTGTTAAAATTTGTAAGAATTAAACTAAAGTTTTTCCTTCCCATTATCGTCAAGTGCTGGCTGATTGGGGTGGTCTTTTTTCTGTATTATTATGGAGTCTTTACCGCATTGAGGAAACTGTAATTTGTTGCTATATAAATAAATTGAATGTGGTTGGACCAGATAAGCTAATTTTCTGAAACACTTCACTGGATTCACGTAACCCTCCAAGTTGAAGATGAATCATTGAAAATCATATGTGGCATATGTGGGATAAAGTCCCACATAGAACTTTAATTGTCTTAAATATATTTTTAAAGAAAGAAGAGGACTTTGTCTTTCTTATTTTATTATAAACATTTGACAAACATCCCAACCACCCACCCCCTTCATTAGTGATGAGCACTAATTGGTGTTTTTATTGTAGCTTCCAGCAACACCTAAGTGTGTGCTTGAGGAAGTGTGAAGACTGTGGCCTTCTGTATATCCTGTTTTGTCTGTGTCTCATATATCTTTAATCTAGCAGTGAGACCCCATCAACAGCAGACAGCTGCAGACAATACGACCTGGCCGAACAGCTCAGACAGACATTTATCCCCTTTCTGTTTTTACTCGCTTGAATGGCCATCACATCATCCAAACAGCATTTGAATACAGCGGGGAATACTCAAATGTGAAAATATGTGGACACACCCTAAAACAGATAAATGAGAAGTGTTAGGAAGTCCGCAGCTAAGAAACAGAGGGAAACTGAACATGTGCTTTACAGGAAATTAGTTGATTTTTTTCGCTTTAAATTATGCCATTCAGTAGCTTCAGAACATTTTTTTCAAACTTTTCATAGTTCTAGTAAATGTTAAATATATTTCTCCCTTTTTTCTGTATCAAATCTGCAAGAGCTAAGGCCCATTGCAGTTCTTCCTTTTAGGGTCTATTTTACCTGATGTGTAGTATATAGTTTCCCAGCATGTACTGCGAATTGTCCCAATGTGTGCCAACATGTTCTCATCCCAAAACGTAACATATCGACATTATGTGACAAATCGTTGGTATGTTACGCTTTCGGCGGACAAAATGTCTGCATGTTATTTATTCAGAGACATGAGAACCGTTTTGAATGAACCTAGAGATCTACATTTATTTTACATTCTGATCATCAATCGCTTTGGAAAACACTATGAGATACGGTTACGGTTATGGTTAATGTTAGGGTTAGGGCTGAAATACACGGCTGGAGCGTGTGGTACCACCACAAGTGTCATTCTGTTGGATTCCATCCACAATCTGGAGCATGTCAAGGAACTATAAGACACCTCGGGATGTGACGAATTGTTGGTATGTTATGAGAATGCCCTCAAGTGTGCATTGTGTTGTCTAACACACAAAATTTAAATAGTATTAGTATACAACATAGAACTTAGTGAAAGATTAGATTTAGAGAATAAACCAACAGCAGGGCTCGCAAAATCGCTAGCCCGACGTCCCGGAGCTAGTGATATCTCCGGTCGGGCGACGAAAATCTATCTCAGCCCTGCCCGTCGGGTTATCATATAGCTAGCTCTGGCTATTACTACAAAAATAAACTACTTGCTTACTGATATCATTATTTGAATAAATAAACCAAGTCCAAAGTCATTAAGAAGCAGGTTACAATGGGGTTTCCACTCTGTGATGTATGCAATTACAGCCCTTACGCAGAGTGTTTTGACATATTTATGGACTGCATTGTTTTTTTTGTACAATTACCTAACCAGTCTGTGCTTCTTCCTGGAAGTAAATAGACGGTGCTGGCCACATGTTAAGGTCCTCGCAGTCCAGTCATTGATGTTATAATAGCAGATGGTTGTGATGTTCTCAGTTGGGTGTTGGCTATTGAATTGTCTCCTTCTTGGAAGCCAACTAACCAGAACATATTTAGGGGAAGTGTGTGCGTGTGTGTGCATCAGCTCAATGACCAGCCCAATGGCTGGGGGAGCTGACCTCAAGCACATGTGTATTAGGGGTGCTATTGGGAGGGTGGACGGACGGTGTGGAAGTGTTCACCTTCAAGTAGAAAATAGACCTCCCTCGTCTGTACAGCAAGCATTTAACATATTAGAATAATCAACCTTGGATTTTCTTTCCCAAGTACAATTCAATTAGCCTGTAAAAAATCAGTGTAAGCAGACTGAAGATGCTATAATTAAGGTTGTGAAATGGATTGGTATTGACAACGTCCTACCCACACCCCAACGATCTCACCCCACACGTGTGCATGAAGCGCCTTGAGGCAACAGTTGTTGTGATTTGGCGCTATATATAAATAAAGTTGAATTGAGTGGTGATTCATTGTAAAACACAAGCTGCAGTCAGGGTCTTACATTTATAGCAGCGAGCACATGCCACATGTATATTTAACCCTGATCACACACAAAGAGTCAAGGTCACCTTCTTGTAACGACACAGCATGTCAGTATATAGGGCCTCTGAGGATGAAGGATGTTATAAAGATAGAACATCTTAATGTTTTTTGGAAAAACACTCACACAAAATCCCAAAACAGTACTTGGGTACATTACTTGTGAACATTTGAAAACTGATTTTCTTGAAACTGGTCTTAATTCAAACTGTAAAAAATATTGTGGGTGAATGCAATAAGTGGATGCCATCTTGACTGAAAGCTATCTAGTCATTCATATAGACGCTGCATATGCTGCATGGCTCAAATCCAACCC